CAATTTCTGCAGAAGATAACTCCGAATTCACTTTATCAAATTTACCGTCTAAACTATGTGAATGACAAGCCTGTAAATCGGACGCTATTTCCGAATGTGGTAAGACAGTGGCTTGGTCAAGCTGTGTTAACTGATTAAATTTTAACTCAAGTTCCAAAAGTCTTTTTTCCAACAAAGAATTCTTTTCCTCCAATGAAGAGACTCTTTCCTTCAAGCAGGCGTTAAAAACCTTCCAGGTGAGCTATGTATAATTCACGTTTGTTTGAATGTGATCTGATATTGCTTACAAACTTTTTAAGTTTCGCTGCATCTTTATTATTTAATTTATGTTTTGCATTAGCATCAACTAAAAATGCTAAGATACCGTCATAGGATTCATTAATAAATGATAGATGGTTCCCAGTTACCTTTTCTGGAGCCAAATCTTGTACAGAGCCAGGAGAAGATTCAAAGACTGAAGAAACTGAATGTGCCGGAGAAAGCGTAACATTAGAATGAGACATTTTATTATAATTCTATAAAATGGGCTTTTCTCTGCAGAGGGAGTTACTATATAATCATAAAACCCTTAAACATATGACTTAAAAGTGAAACAGAAATAAAAACACTATGAAAAACAAATCGGTAAGCAGAAAAGAACCAATTAAACAAAAATCATTAATTAACAAAAGACTAATTAAAAGTTAAGTACGATTTGAATTATTAAATTAACAAAAAGGACCCCAAGGAACATTATAGCACAGAAATTAAAACAATTATCACTTGACTTCAAGTAGTAATATAAGCATGAATTTAACATATAGTCTATGGAGTTTTCCAGGAAAGAACCACAGTCTCAGAACGTAAGTTTGACAAGTTCAAAAACATTACTTCTCTAGAGATTATAATCAGTAACAACATATAAATTTAGAACATATTTTCTATGCGTATGGCAACTTCCGGTTACAGACTCTTAAGAATTTCGAAGAACAGTGGTGTAAGATAGCGTCCTTTTTGTACCATAGTATAAAAATCTTAATTAATTATCCTAATTGTGATAAAACTGTCCAAAAATTTTTTGTAAGTCATAAAATCATAAAAAACATTAATATTTAAAAGAAAATTGCAATTAATTTCACCAAAAGGACCATTAATTAATTCGAAAACAGTCTCTAGCTTAATATCAGTCTATGAACACAAAGTACAATGTAAACAAATACAAAATTGAAGATAAATCAGTAAATACTTATCTAAAATACATATGACGCAAATCGATGCAATCCACGGAAGCTGTAGAACATAATTTCTACACCTGTTTGGCACAAAACACGATCCAAAACTTCACAAAACGAAGACCCCATTGCTGGAATCTCGCAACACTAAACCACAACTAATTATCCAAAATCACCATAACTTTGAAATTTGCAGGTCGAATTTCACAAAATTGGTATCTACTTGATCAGGAACACTTTATGCACACATTTTAAAACATGAAAAATACCGACGAAATAAATTGTAAAATGGATTCAAAAGAGATTATTTTCATGGCGCAGTACGTACGTACGTATGTATATATGTACGTAGTACCCACTGTCTCATAACTCAAAGATGATTATTTGTAAATCGCTAAAGTTTTGTGTATGGGAATGCTATAACATCTAGCTGTGCACCTCGCTTTTTTATTGCAATCAGCAGAACCAGAAATATATATATATATGTTCACGGCGGGAAAAAAAATGGGAAAGTTCTATATTTCCCGTTCTATTGGCCCGTCTGACAAAATTTAAACTGGTGTTTTCATGTCTCGAAAGCGCAATTTAGGATATATATATATATATATATATATATAAATAGAAATTTATATAAGCATTCTTCTAACAATTTTTTTTTTTTTTTTTTTTTTTTTTTTTTTTTTTTTTCCAGTTTGGCCAATTAATTCACTGGTGCCTTCTTAATATAGAAACCAATTTTCATTTCCTCTTTATGCCGGAGCGGAAAAAGGCCACCTCTTTCCTACATTTTTACATTGTGCATGAGAGGCAAAAAGTTACATCGTTTCTCCTTCCAAATAATTTTAGCAAAGTGTTTAAACTACATCGATGTTTTATCGCTTTCAAACAACAATATGCCAAATTCAAAACGCGCCAATATAAATCACTTATATCTTCGAATTTGATAAAAATTGTAATTTTTTGCAGGTATGCTTAGAAATACATCTACTTTAAGAGTATGTTAAAATTTTTATAGATTAATACAATTTTTTTTGAAAAATTTATAAAATATCAAAAATTAATATAAAAATGGTGAATTTTATTTGGAAAAACCTGACTTTCGAAATTTGAAAGGAAGATCAAATAAGCTTATAAAAAAGGAAAGATAAATAAATATACCAAACTCATTAACATGAGGGAAAATTTTGAGACTATTTTTTAAAACTACTCGTGCGATTTTTACAAAAACTTGGTAGTTTGGCTTTTGAGTCGTAGAATGGGAAAATGGAAAAAAATGGTATGTTATTCAGAAAAAGTCGATTGTGTCAAATACCTATATTAAACAATGCTATATATAAATCTAATACATATATTAATGTCGCATGTGAAATGTTGAAATGCAAGTAATTTCGCCAAGGTAGTAGAACGGGAAATATAGAACTATCCCCCCCCTTTTTTTTTGCGTGGTAAATATATCCACTCCCTTACAGGACTTAAGTCCTTACTGGGCCTTTATTTTTGCCATCATTGGTCGTAGTCCTGCATTTGCAATTATAGAAGAGCTTTAAATGACAAAAATATTCGTGTTTTGACAATGTTAAATTAATAAAAATTAAATGTTAAATTAAATTACGTCCAAAGGGGCTTTTTTTTAGCGTTTAGTGTGTAACCTTTATTTATTAAATATCATGCTCTTAGCACTTAAACGATAAAAGTCAGTTCAATAGCAATGCGCAAAATAATTTTAAAATGAATCTTAAATTTCCGATACACACAGTTCCGCGCGCTGGAGATAAAAAGGTTTTTTCCCACAGAGTGTTGCCATTGCTCGCTTTAAATCGTTGAGCTTGTTACTTAAAATTCGTTAAAGTTTTAAAAAGAAATAGATAATAAAAATTCCAAATTTCAAATTTGGTCTTCCACATGCCCATATTCGTAGGAGGATACGTCATTCAAAATTCGGTTGCTCTATGTACCGTTGTTTTATCATAATGCGAGAAATATACATACATTTATGCAGATTTTTCATTATTTAATTTCTCCAAATATAATGCAGGACTCTAACATTTGGTGGCAACAACTTGAAAAGTGATTCGTCGTTTATAGTGATTCAACGCAAATCGCAAAATGAAAATAATAGCCCTTCAGGGACAAACCCCCTTTGGACTAATAATAAATTTTCAACAAATAACGAAATCTAACTTTTAATGCGACTGCTTTTACCACTTGGATACTAGTGGGCCCGTCAACATGATGAGTAATTTTCTAAAGTATTTTCACCCTTCTTTCTGCATGCCAAATAATGTTAATTGGTTAGAAATGCACAAATATTGCCAAACTGTTGACAAAAATTTACTGCCAATGCTACACAAAGAATCTGTGAGCTCTGGTAGTGATAGTATTGTAGGCCGTTAAGTGTGATATAAGAAAATAAGAATATCAACGTGATGTTTGGTTTTGTTTTGTTTATTTAATTACGGCAAAGCACATGACAGCTGTCTGCCTAAGGAGAGGGACGTTCGTGGAGGACGTTCTGAGGGAACTAACTGGTATACCAGCTAAACATGAAAACGCCTATGCAGTCAATCCGTTCACCGGGCTTCTAGCCTCCAAGTGAACTACTACCACTGTTCAGCGATTTTACCACTTGGCCACTGGTGGGACCGTCAACATGATGAGTAATTTTGCAAGGTATTTTCACCCTTCTTTCTGCATGCCTTTGTGGTGTAATGGTTAGCACACTCGGCGCGTATCGAGAAGTCCAGGTTCGAGTTCCAGCGAAGGCATTGCTCCTTTTTCAGATCTCTTGCTTTGAAAAAAACCCTAATGACTGACAACTTTATTAGAAAGTATTGTGTATTTACTTAAAATTAAAATTTTATTTTAGCAAATAATAAAAAATATATAAAAATTGTCTGCCAAAGCCACCATAATTTTGTAGTATATATCATTATATGAGAAAATTTGATAGTGTAAAATTTTTTGCAAAAATAGTTTTCCTATATGTTAATTATTTTATTTTGTGAACTTTATATAGAAATTGAGTTTCTACTTAAAAAAGAATGAAAGAAAAAGAACCCTATTCTGGCCCTTTAAGAGAAATTGAGCCTCAGTAATTTATACCAATTCTTTCCCATCTCTACAGTACTGATCAATGTCAAATAAATAAATAAATAAATAAAATAGATAAATAAATAAAATGCGAACACATATGTTTGGATAAAATTAACATGTTTCTGGAAGGACAATATTAATTTTAAAGCAATTTCAGTAAGTTATGTGCAATACCTAGAAACAATAGAACAAATCTGTAATTAGTGACGTGTTGAGTATCTGTTCCATATAGATAGATTGCTATGCATATTAAATCAACTGCATACGAGATTTTGCTTAAATGCCTCATTAGCTTGAGAGATTACAATGCGTACATATAAATGAATTTTTCGAAAAATCTTTATTTTTCATTTTCAATCAAAGCAAAAGACCTATATTATGAGCAATCATATGAGGAATTTTTTATCAGAATTTTGTTTTTCCCAGCAGGAATAATTTTTGTACAGAATGGTGTAAAATAAATGACAAACTAAAGTTTGTGTCCGTCATCATAATTAAAGATGTCTCCCAGCAGTAAAGTACATTATTTAAAGAGCTAACAGCTTGTTTAAAAATGAAAGTTTGCATTGAACGATAGGAAGTGTTATAGAGAAGCGAAAGTTTGACGAATAGAACCGGAAGAGAGTTCTTGATATGCCTAATGACTTTCTCTTATCTCTGCTTTTTAATAGCTTGCTTTAATTGTTTATTTTTCAGCTCCAGATGATAACAAAAGTCTTTAAAAGCCATGGGAATTTGCTGCCATTCCAAGCCCGTGAATACAACTCCTAAAGAAACAATAAATTTAGATACCAGGCAAGTTCAAGAAAATGGAGAAAATTTAAAAGGTGAGTTTTAATCGGCAATTTTAAAGATTTTGTTTTATTTCTATTTTTTAAATTATGACGAATAAAATGTATTTTAAATTAGTAAATTATTACCTAGAAGAAGTGTATTATAATTTATTACAGGAAATATATTATAATTATTGTCCTAAAGACAGAAGCCAAGATTCAATGTTTCAGTAAAAATAGGACTAATTTAAAAACATTTTTACATTAGCAAATACAAAGAAAAAATTTTAATCATTTTGACTAGCTTATGTGGGGATGTAAATAGGGAAGTGGAATAGGGACACAGGCATTAAGTTCAAGATCCTGGAGACCTTAAAATGAAATTGACGAGAAAATATTTAATTAAGACACAATAACACGCCGAATAAATACTAATTCAGAAGTCAAAGAACAAAAATTTTTTGTTGTTTGACTTCTGAATTAGAGAAAATATTTATTAGAAATTAAGACTTACTTAAAACTTAACTATTGGAAAAGAAAGATTATCCGGTATTTATATAGCTTCAAATGAATGTAATTAAAACCAGGAAATTACAGAGAAAAGTCACAATGGCCAATTTTGTAAAAATTCATGAACAAATGCCATTTATTTCAATAATTGTTCATATCTGTCCTTTCGATTCTTAATTTTGCTTCCCTTGACCGGAAATACACATTAAGTTGTTTAACTATAATTTAATGGAAATAAAAATGTAAGTGAATAAAACGCTCTTCATGGGGGGGTAGGATAATTATTCAGGAATTGTTTTTAGTTTTGGTTGGTTTTCATTGTCACCATGCGCCTAAGACAAAGGTTTTGGCGAAGAGATAAAATGCATAGAATAATTATTCTAGCCGCTGATATTGCAAAGCAGTGATGTATCAAGTAAAGTCTCAAGGAGCCGTCCAACCGAGATAGTGGATAGCGACGTTGACTACCGTACCGAACGGCCCGGGCTTGAATCCCGGAGAAGGCACAGATGTTTGTAAATGTATAGTGTCTGTGCGGCATGGGAACACTCTAAATATTCGGAGAGTCCAAAGTCCTCTTGAGAGGTTGACGGTAGAAATAGAGGTGTGGGAGACCCTCGGACCCGTCCCCTTGGGATGCTGTAAATCAAAATTGGGGGGGGGGCGGAACTGAGCAAAGTCTAAATGTCACCTGTATGGTGCTAAAAGCTCTTGCCAACAGCAGGCGCAGTCTTGCATTCCTTGCGACAATATCCATGTCACACATGAGGAAAAGTAGGAAAACTCCCTGTTTGCCTGGATTCGAAAACAGGTCGAACTACCAGGTTTCACTTTTTTACTGCTCGACTGCTGGTGAGCTTCCCAAACTAAAGAGGAGATCAGATGAAGAAATAAAGGAAGCCCACTGGTTAATTCTAAAAAAATCTTTAATTGATGCTTTCTCGAGATTTTGAACTAAAATATATAAGTCATAGCTGATTAAAGGAGTCAGGTCTTCTAATAAATTCTGGTCTTAGGCGAGAATTTCGATTCTGGTTTCCGTCGACAGAGCTAGGATTTTTGCATTAGATTTGTGTGCAGCAAATCTTTCCGCGTATGATTTATTAAATTAAAACGTTTGGTGTGTTTTGAAATCATCTAACAGTGTTCAAACTCTCGGTGGCCGTTAAGTCTAACAACAAATGAAGTTTGAGAAGAGTGTGAAAGACGTTTTTATTTAAAACTAGGAAGAACAGAAGACCCGGTGCTTACAAATCAGCCAGTCACTTGTGGCAATGTAAATTAGAGTAACAGTCAGTCAGATGTAAAATTTAAACTAAATAAGCTAGTAGCCAAAGGCTACGCAGATTAATTTAACCCCAAGTTGACTCACAATCTAACCGAAGAGGAGATTCAGTATTGGCGATTATAATGCAAGGCGAAAGACTGCAAATCTTATCTCAACCTAGTAATGACCTCCAGAAACAGAACGTCCTTAGTTTTGCAATCTAAAATCCTTATCTTAAATACCAGAATGCCAGAATACAAATTAGCTCACTTAAATAAATTAAGTGAGCTAATTTGCATTCTGGCATGGAACCGGAAGGAAGAAGTGACAGTAAAGTTCTAAATCGTAAAACAACTGGTTAATTAACGTACAGAAATTCTACAAGGTTGTTTCTTGGCAAATTTTACATTTCACATCTCCTAAAATTGGTTTTTGTCCCAACCGCAGGTTGTGCAATTTTGTTCCTCTTCTCGTTTCTTTTAGAAACGACCAGAAATGGACTTTCGCCGCATCTGAGCCAGTGCTCTTAATGGTTGCATTCTTCCTGTGTATGATATAACATCTGACAACGGTAGCATTAAACAGTATCAGTGCATCTACTGTAAAGCTCACCTTTGGTGATCACAGTTTTCGGCTTTACCACGTTGTAGACACGTCTTGACTTATTCTGTAGTAAAGTGTCAAGAAAAAGTGGGTAGAGTCTAATTTCTCCTTTTCAGCGTCAGATAGGCAACTGGATGCTATTTATCAAGAAACCTAGTTCAATCAAATCTTATAAAACGTTTTAACGCAAGCCCTTCATATAATCTTCAGTGGTTTTTCATCATTGGGAATGAATGATTAAAATTTGATATTCTGTGATTTTAGCAGTTCAGTCATGTTCCGGCGAATATTGTCATCAGCGACGTCAATTCGGATAATTTCATCTTTCGTTAGGGGACCTTGGGAGACTTTTATTCCAACACTTGCAAAACACAATTTCAGATTTTCCCATGAATATCATCGGACGTTAATATGAATGGGGAGAGCGACGTTTGCGAATCTCTATGGATAATAATTTTCTGATAAGATGTCCTTGGTGTTGTTTGAGTGTTAAACCGTTTTTATGGAGACATTTTCAGTAGGTGTCAGACTCTCATTAAGTTGTTTATTTCCTGTAGGTATATGTCTCTGATTCGACATCGGTGAAGGCATCGTTCTTCGTGTGATACTGACCATGAAATTTGTTGAGCGGTGTTTGGGTTCTGTGTGCAAACTATAAGTTCCCCTATCGTGGGAACACTTCCTAAGACTGAGAGCTATTTAAATTTCACTCTGACATAATTAAAATTTGCATCGAACTTTAGGACTTAAAAAAATTAGCTAATTGGAGAACGAGCGCAGGAAAGTACTCAAGAGCTAAAAAGAACTAAAAATGAACTATTAGAAAATCACTATCATAATGACAATCATATTTATGTAATCATTGATAATCACCAAACAATGCAAGTAAATTTGCAATTTAGGGGAAGATAATAACCTAATATTTTTAATAAATTAAGAGGATTAATATATAGCTCCGGCTGTATAATTAAATATTTTTCTGTTCGATAATATCTAGAAATTTACTTTAGCTGAGGAATTAACATTCATTAGAATAAATTCGATGTTTTTTAAAAATAAAAACGATTAAAAGAAAAAGTATTAGAATAAGTTGGGAAAGAAATAGCGGTTGTTTTCATTTCCATTTCATTGAGATGTTTTGTTGTTTCTTTTATTTGTTCATTTCGTTTGTCCAAGTATTATTTCCATTTTGTCCAGTTCGGAGAACAAGTGCTCGCTAGAAGCGAGTAGTAAAAATCATTGACACTGGATCAAATTCCAGTCAACGGTCTAGATGTATGGAAGTTTTTTGTTTTTTTTCCAATGAAAAAAATTAATACTAGACAGCTTCCTTTTAAATATCCCCCTGTGAAGGCATGCCATTCTTAGGCACTTCGACATGTTTTTCAATAATTCTGTAAGGATTATGTTAATTTTATTAACAGTTAAATTTTAAGTTCCTTTCCTGTCAAATTCTTAACTTCAACTTACTACTTCTGGCCAGAACGTAGTTTTGGAATTTGCTGAATATTTAATGAGGAGCGGTATTTAAACCACGAAGTTACTTACTCAGTCAGAGAGAATCAGAGTTTCTGATTTACACGCGTCTGCCTTTTTGGCCACTCTCTCTCTCTCAAGCTGTTATTACGCTCGCCCGTACTCAGGCCCTTGCTAAGCTTCGTAGTCAAATAAGTTAAGGGGCCAGCTTGATTTGAACCTTGATAGCTTCGGCTATACTTTCTTTAGTTTAATCTTAGTTTTACTTTAATTCTCAGTCTTTTAAGTTCAAGTCCAAGCGCGGCCTTTGCTTGTACACTCCCAGGCGGAGTTTCGTTAAATCTTATTGGAATAATAAAGGGTTACTAATTCAGAAGTCAAACAACAAAAATCAGCGTTATATTTACAAAATTTTCACAGGACTAGTTTCGATGGTTTTACCGAACCACCATCCTCAGCTGCAAAACCGCAAATGAACAAGATAGGAAATAATGATTAGATAAGATAAGAAAGCCTGGACAAGAATAAGCAAGTGGATGGTAAAATCATCGAAACTAGTCCTGTGAAAATTTTGTAAATATAACGCTGATTTTTGTTGTTTGACTTCTGAATTAGTATTTATTCGGCGTGTTATTGTGTCTTAATTAATAAAGGGTTAGTTACCCTTCTATCTTGTTGTTTCTTGTCACCGAACACAAGCGATTATTCGCTTATCAGTTCATAGATTCTTCACTTCCAACATTAATTTAGAATTCTAAAGTCTGGAACTCTACAATTCGAAAAATTCAAACCAATCAGGTCACATTTCGGGATGTGGGGTTTCTTCAGTGCTACAACACGAATCGTAGACAAAAGCTGTCTTAATATATATTTTCCCGATAAGATCAGCGTCCTTAGAGCCATTCAGAACTCTTTTTTCAATAATGTGTAGGGTTTATATTTATTTTAACTAACATTTATTTTAAGTTTAAACTATCTTTCCTGTCAAGCCTTACTTTCCCCTGGAACTGCCAATGCCAGAGTATGTAAATTTTAGTAGAACGCGCAAGGATTCAAATTATCAGCGGAAGTATTCCGAGTTAAATAGAAAGGAAACGAGTTCGAAGTGTGCTGTTCTTACTTCACGAGCGCGGAGGTAGTTAGCCAGAAATTGAAGAACCCCGCGTTTCGGCCTGTGTGCTTGCCTCGGAGAATGTTA